TCGAAAGAACACAGCCCTCCAACCCCCCAGCCCTCAGGTTAAAATGTGACCACCCCCAACTACTTCCCTCTCACCCATCCTTTCCACAGACCCAGTTTCCTTTCAATAGTTTCTCTACCCACCCCTTCTTTAACTTCCCTTAGAAACTTGTGGTATAGAGCCCGGCGCCGGTGGCCCACACCTGTCACCCTAGCTACTCAGGAGGCTGAGATCTGAGGATCATGGTTCAAAGCCAGCCCAGGCAGGAAAGTCGGTGAGACTCTTACCTCCAATAAAACACTCAGAAAACCAGAAGTGGCACTGTGGCTCAAGTGGTAGAGCGCTAGCCTTGAGCCTGAAGAGCTGAGGGACAGTGCCCAGGCCCAGAGGTCAAGCCCCATGACCAACTAACCAACCAACAAACAAACAAACTGTGGTGTTTCTTTTTATTTTCTTTCTCTGTCATACTGGAATTTGAACTAATATGGCCTTGTGCCAGCTAGGTGCATACTCTACCACCTGAGCCACACCTCCAGCCTGTTTCACTGGGTCTTGTCATCTTTAACTAGGACTAGGTTTGGACTGCAAACTACTTACCTATGCCTCCCTCATGACTGGGATTACAGATAGAAACCACCATGCCCAGCTTGTTTCTTGAGCTAGAGTCCCATTAACTTTTGTGTGTCTGGGCTGCCCTCAAACCAAGATCCTTCTGTCCCTGCCTCTCCCATAGCTGGGAATAAAGGTAGGAGCTACTGTACTGGGCCTGCCTGTTTCTTACTATCAAAAGCTTGCCTACTCCTCCCTTTGGCACCCCCGTACTCCCTGAACTTGATCCCTGAACTCACTCTCCCCAGAGGTTTCTATTTTCTAAACTCTCCCATTTGCTACCCCCACCCCCAAACTCTCCTCAACTCATTCATTCTTTTAAGTACCCACTGGGTTCATTCTGTGTGCTGGGCACAGTGCTCCATGCAGGGAACAGAACTGTGAGCCAAGCAGGCAGCTCTGCTCTCCTGGAAATATCCGTTCTGTAAGCGGTGGAGACAGAGGAAAAATAAAACAGGGCCAGGGAAGGTGGCAGGAAAGCCCATTAGACAGAGTGCTTCAGGAAGGCCCCCCTGAACTAATGAACACAATCACTAAGAGAACTGGAGGCTCAGAGAGGTAGGATATTTCCTCCAAGGTCACACAGCCCTTAGGTAAGGAAGAGTCGATTTGAATGCAGCTCGGACTTCCAGGACTTCTCTGCCCTCCTGCTTCCCCAAGACTTTTGCCATCTGTCCTCCCTAGAGCTCTCCTGCTGATTGCTCTTTGCTTAGATTTCCACCAGAAAAGGCATCCTTCCTTGTAATTACTGCCCTTTGTGGAGCTTTCTGAACAGTCTCTCGTCCAGCCGACCCTCGCCTGTAATCCCAGGAGGCACGTACTGGCTCTTATTCATTTTACAACCGAAGGCACTCGAGCCTGAACTGCATATATCTAGATTCGAACGCAGACCCGTCTCGTTCTAAGATGGGGGGGGGGCGGGGGGGGGGTAGATGACAGGCTTTGGCCCGTCAGCCTGTCCTGTCTAAGAACTAAGAGGCCTCCGGTTACCTTTCCTCAGGTGGGAACACCTACGTGTCCAAGGTCACACGGGCAGAAGCAACGGGGTCGGGCTCGAACCCTGGGCCCCACGGCCCTCGCCCGCATCCCCCTCACCGGCGGCCCCGGCAGCGTCCGGGCCCCGAGCGGGGCGTCCCG